GGTTTCCTGAGGGATGGGGCAGCGGGAGGGTCCTGTCCCGCCCCCGGCTCACAGAGAACTCACACTGCCGTGTAGCGCAGAGGAACAGCGAGGGAAGAGGAAGCAGGTAGGCATGGCCAGCAGCCTTCAGTGAAACCAGCATCTCATGCTTCTGCTTCTGTCAGCTGCTGGGTTGTACCTTAGAGAGGTGGTCCTGAGGATGAGGAAAGGGAGGATGGACTTCAAAGAAATACGGTGAGAACAAAACTCTGGATCGTATCAACTCTCGTGGAGAAATGCTCGGTGGTGTGAGTGAAGGAGCCTTGAAAAAGGAAGGCCTTGAAGCAGACAAGCTTGGGAGGGTTATCCCTGTATAAACACAATGTTTGTGGCAGACCCCATCGTCTCATCAAGGTAACAGTACTTCCTATAGCAGAAGTTGTGGTAGTAGAACATCGCAGTGCACTGGTACCTCCTCAGTGCTGGCCGGTCTTGCTGTATGGGTAGGTGAAGCATCAAATGAGTCTTGGTGAGTGAAAAGGGAGTTGATTTGAGACACCAGGGAATAAAGTTTCACAATGAAAAGGATTTGCTGTTTTCTTGAAATGTCTTGTGAGCTTTATTAGGTGTTACATTACATCCTTAAAAATACTAACTCATCTTTTGCAGTGGCTTGGTTTTCCCCTGGCCTTCTAGTGAGCTATAGCATGGCCAGAGAAAGGGGAGCCTTAGCTGTACTCTTATTATAAGGGTTATTGTTCTGTGACTGGATATGTTTTAGGTATTGCATGTTGCCCTCACAGAAGTGCTGTGCAGTAGGTACCACCAGTGTAGGGGTCCCACCCTCCTACTGCCTGGGACAGATTCCTCAGGCAGCCATTGACTGCTGGTGTGGATATTGCACAGGGCCTGTTCTGTGGCTGCATTGGCCTCTTTGTGTGTTTCTATGTTGATCACCACATGCCTTTTAACAAAACTCCCTCCCAAAGGGTCTGTAAGTACAGGGGAGATATTTCGTGTTGTTCCTCCAGTGAGTAAGACAGGGGCTGTTAGGTCACGACCCTTGTTCTGCGATGTGATCTTCTGTTCTGAAATAGCAGCTTCTGCGCTGCCTCAAGATAAACCACGAATATACGTGGTACTTAAAGTTCATCGTTTCGTTTTGGACTGCATTACTTATTTGGAATGAAGAAGGTTAAGTATTTTGTAACAATTGCCATTTAGAAGACAGGACTAAAATAAATGAATAGCAGTGCCTGAAATGAGATCGTGAAGCAAAGCCATGAATCACGGTAACAAATTTTTAGCACACCCATCTGTTCCAGATGGGAATACAGAGCCCGTGTGTGTTGAGAGCTTTGTTAGTGAGGAGGATCTACCTGTCTGCAAAAAATACAACCAAATGAAATTAAAGGATTGGACTTGATCCAAAAAGTCTTTTCCAACCTCACCGATTCTATGTTTCTATGAAAAGAAACTTCCCACCACTGTGGAAGCTGTACCAGTGAAAAGCTGAGAAGTTAAGAAGCTGCTGCTTGTCATCAGCTTTGCTGTTATGAAGAAAGCAGAAGGGTTTTCCCGTTTGGTGTGATTCTAACACCGGCTGCTGGCAGTGCTCTTTTCCCAGCAAATCTCAACTGCTGCTAGGACAGCAATTCCAATCTGATTGTGATAGAGGTTCGACACTGCCTGGTCTCCAGGATGGTTTTCTTAGGAGCTCTTTGTTGAGGTTCTTGTGAGATTTTTCTTAAAGGACTGTAATCTCCAAAACCTGATTCCAAGTGTTAAATATTGTTCAGTTGCTCCTTTTCTCTTTTTCAGTGGCAGCATGGAGCCTGCGTTTCACAGAGGAGATCTCCTGTTCCTCACAAACCGAATTGAAGATCCAATCAGAGTGGGAGAAATCGTGGTCTTTAGGATAGAAGGAAGGGAAATTCCTATAGTCCATCGTGTCCTGAAAATTCATGAGAAGTATGTTAAGAATTTGGGGGGTTGTATTGCAGGATGTTTAGCTAAATTATGTTTTTCCTTGGGTAAATGGATGGGTGTCATGTCAGTAACTGATATCCAGGTGCTGTAGGAAGCAGCATAGAAGTTTCAGACAGACAAAATCTGCCCTCCTTGGTTTCCTTGTAAAGGTAATCGAGCAGAATGCACAAGGTGAGGAGTCTGTGCGAGTAACCTGGACTCCCCATGTCACTTAATGTCTCCTGCACCATGATTTCCCTCCCAAGGTGCCACATGTTGTCACCTGTAGGCACGGCTGCACTTACATGTGTGAAGTGGCTCTTGTTTGTGGAGGTAGAACTTACTGAAGAAGGGTATTTTGTGTGTAGCGTGCATTATTTTAAAGCTTGTCTTTTTGGTCCTGGCTTCTGCTCTCATGCAGAGAGAGGGTGTTTGTTTTCTTCTCTGTAGAAAGTCTGGTGGTGTTACACTTGCGGTCTATGCACTGGGCTGTCCATGTCCTGTTCATTCTATGAACATCTGTCAGGTTGCGTGCCTGAAGGAATGAAGCACAGTCCCTCTAGTTTGATTGCTGAACAGGGCTTAATTTTTCAAGCAAGGCTTCCTCAGCAGCCACAAGCCTTTCTGTTTTGCTGGATGCTATGACTGCTTCAGACCAGTCTGTGGGGATACGAGCCTTCCCTGTGAGGCATTTGAGCAAAAACTAAATCTTGCACTGAATCCCTGGTTCTTCAAGCCAGCTTGGAGACGTCACCAGCTGGATGGGGTCCCAGCATCTGTTTCTGCAGAGTAAATGCCTGCTGCAAGATGAATGAACTGGAACTATACCAGCACTCAGAGATCTGTTCCTAGGTTAAGGAAATCACTCAAATCATGTGTAAAGGTGACATTTGATGGCTGCTTCATTCAAGTGAGGTTGAGGGGATAGAGAAGGGTCCGTCCCCCATGGCAGCCACAGCTATTGAGGCACTCAGATCATTTGTCTGGCCCAACGACAAGGTCAGCCAGGTTCATGCACACAAATAGTCCAGCTGAAATCCTGGCTATGACAGGGTGGCACCTCTCCCAGTAGACAAAGCAGTCTTTGCTATTCAGATTTTTTCTTTTAACATTTTAAAAATCTTTTAACAATGTCAAAGCACCACTTTGATACCAGTAATTCAAAAATAAGGTCGATATAGTTGGTAAATCTGTAATGTAATGTTGCACGTGCACTTTTTGTGGTGTCTTGGGAACTCTTAAGTGAAATGCTACTTTCCTCCTCCTCTATTGCATGCTAAAGGCTCGGCTGGGCTCCAGTGCTGCTTGGGCTGATTACTGAGGAGGCAACAAAGTTCAAGGTCTTCTCTCTCCACTCTCAGCCACTGTTTGGGAAGGAGAAGCAGAAATGTGCATTCTATGTGTCAGTTCATCCCCAGATATTACCCACCCTACACTTTTTGCTTGGTTCTGTCTCAGCACTATTAAGGTATTCAGGGCTTATTTATTTTAAGTAACAGGACCATAGTGCCAGTCCTCGATTCTCTGAAGTAAAACCATTCTCCAATATTTTAGATTTCATTTAAATAAGACAACCAAATACAAACCTGAACTTTACATTAGGAAAGATAAACTGAAAAATCCCTACTGCGACCTGAAGCCAGGCAGAAGCCAGGAGAGCTGAAGGCAGGGCTTGGGTATCAGTTGCTTTTTTCAATATTTAAAGAGTATTTCTCTGGTGCCAGTTTGGAGTTCAGGAGTATCCTCTGAATGGATGGAGTTCCCCATTTCTTCCTGTAGTTATGGACTGCATAGGAAAACTGAAAAGTTTCTGTGAAAGCTGTCAAGAGTGCCAAGCTGAGGGAGAACAGAAACCCTGTTCTCTGTGATCTTCTGGCAGTTTGGGCTCCAGTTCACATCAGTATTGTTTCAGGGAGAAAATGTTTTTTCCTTGCTGGTCTTTTTTTCTTTTTCAGACTGAAATTGAATTCATTCTTTATCACTAAACACAGTCTGTGGTCAAAACTTACTTGGTGGTTTTGGTGCAGGACAGCCAGAGCAGGTTTCAGTCACCTTTCAGACAGAGCAACTGTGCTGTGGGCTTCTTGTGGTAGTTCATGATAGAGCATTGAATCTGCTCAGTAAGATGGTGTGCTCCTACACCATCAGTCTGCAGAGATAACTGTGTTATCTGCACATTTGGGTATCTTCTTTTTCCAGACTGTATCTCAAAGTCTAGAGTTTGTTGGCCCCACACAGGGAGACAAATGTGCTTTGAAGAAAGATCTGTTCTTTCTCCCCCCCCTTTTTTCTTTCCCTTTCAAGCTTCTCCTGTTGAGTAACACATGCTGCTATTCAGGCATGATGAAAACAGCATGAGCTCTGAAGACCTTCTGCATGCTTTCCTGTGTTGCATTTGATCTGTCATTTCTGTGAGTACGCTGACAGAACCAAGCAAGGAGAATGCTCCTGCTCAGCATCTGCCTCCAGATGCCACAGGGACATGACAGCGATCACTGATCTCCAAGCAGTGGCACAAGCTGCTGCTTAGAAGCCAGCAGAGCTGACTGCCCAGCAAGCTGAATGGAAATGACTGGGAAAGAGGCACAATGTGGTGTGTAGAACTAGAGCATAACAGCAGCTGTTTCCAGGTCAAAGAAAAGGTTCATCTGCTCCAGGATCCTGGTTTTGACAAGTTAACTAATTAATCTCAGGATGAATTAAAGACTAGAGAGAGTATTTATTGACAATTTCCCTGCTTTAGCACATTATGATTTCAAGCACAATGTCATAGTTTGTTATTAATGGCCTCCTTCACTTTTTCACATGGAGTGTCTGGTCACGTTTTGAATTGATACAATTTTTTGGCATCCAAAATACCCTTCCAGTGAGACGTTAGCAGTGTTGTTAGTTCTACATAGTTCCTTCTCTGGCTGTTTTAATCTGTTATCTCTGAGTTTCATTTGATGCCCTCTCAGTCTGGTATTGGAAGAGGCAGTGAAAAGCTGTTTTATTGTTGTTGTGTGTGTCATTTGTATTGGACTACCGTCATATCTCCCATCAGTTCTGTCTTTTCCAGGCTGAAGAGTCCTGGTCTGTTGTTTCTTGTATGGAAGTGGTTCCAGACCTTGTTATCCATTTCTGAGCCTTTGCCAGTTCTTCTCTCCATTTCAAAAAAGGATGTAGGGGGTTCAGAACTGCACAGAGCATTCAAGATGTAGGCACATTGTGAGTTCATGCAGTATCATGATGGTATTGTTTGCTTTGTTTTATCCCCCTTTCCTAATAATTTCTAAGTTTCAGCTTCCTTCTGACCACTACTGTGTAGAACTGTATGCTTTAACCCCAAATCTCATTTTGAGTGGTAGTACAGAGCCCAGCACCCAGCATTTGTATATGAAGCAAGAGAAGCATCAACATGAGAGAGGTCAAAAGCAAAGAGGCGGTAGTTGCACCTTTGCTAGAAATGGCTCATCCTGCTGGTTCTGTTCTTCAGCTCTGCTAGAAAGCTTGTCTGGGTCCAGAATTCGTTCTTTCATTTGCAGTGTTTCTCCAAACTGTCTGCTTTCCACTGCATTTGACAGATTTTTCTCTTTTTGATCCTGCTTGACATGTAGGACATGATTGCTTCTAAAACCTTTGTGTTAGTCTCTGCACTTGCTCTAGAACAGCTTTTAATGAGTTATTTTCTCTGACTTACCTGGCTGCCTTTCCTTTGCTAGGCAAAATGGTGACATCAAATTTCTGACAAAGGGAGACAATAATGCGGTTGATGACAGAGGGCTGTACAAACGAGGGCAGCACTGGTTGGAGAAAAAGGATGTAGTAGGACGAGCAAGAGGGTAAGTAAAGTTGAAAAAGATGCTGCTTTTTACACTGCCCTCTCCCAGTGCCATCTGTTAATCCCCCTCTTCCTCTTGAACTCTCCCTGCTGGGTTTATGTGACCTGCGTGAAAGCATTTCAAAAGGTACTGTGGAGAGTTAAAAAACAAAGGTAGTTCAGTTCTTGGCTGGGCTTAAGCGAAGGTATCAAGACCTGAACTGCATCTTGAGGTTTGATGCTGGGTGGACACTGATGTAAAAGCCATGCATGCTCAGGCGTGATCGGAATTCCCATCAGTATCAGTCTGCAAGGCACAGTCTTTGCAGGCAGGTGAATGCTGAACAGGGCAGAGGCTAAAACATACTCTGGGGCTGGTTGTCATTTGGCTCCCACTGCCATGGCTTCCCTGCTTGGGAGGAAGAAGTCCCAAGCCTGTTAAGCCTGTTGACCATAGCCCTCAGCATACTTAAGTGGCTCTTCCTTTGTTGAAGTACCAGCGCAGTGCTTCTCCAATATGCAGCCATGAATAGTATTTGTTTTAATAAAACCTTTATTCTTGTAGATTTGTGCCCTATATTGGAATAGTGACTATCTTAATGAATGATTATCCAAAATTTAAGGTAAGAGCTCTTTTCATTTTCTGTCTGCTTCTGCCACCCCAGCTAAAATTACTTCATGAGAACTTTACACGCACAAGCAGAACCATTTGCCCTGTATGTTTGCTGCTGTTACTGCATCTTTAGATGTGAATGTGCGTTCTTGTGTCTTCTTTCTCTTACAGTATGCAGTCCTTTTTTTCCTGGGTCTATTTGTGCTGGTCCATCGAGAGTAGCCTCTTGTACTGAAGTATGAGGTGAAGGTGCCATGGATTTTTTTTTTTTAGATGAACTTTTGAAGTAGATGGTGGTCTGACGTGCTGGGAGGAAAAAGAAATCCATGCATTTCAGAGCCTCTTGGGTTAGTTTTGTTTTTTACTGCATAAGGGCAAATGTTTGTCACAGTATTTCCAATGGTTTGTCACATTTTAGCATTTTTAGTGAATTTTTATATTAAAAATTTAAGCCAAACTGGTCAGTGTTCGTGCTTTGAAGCTGAGCTTCCTCTCAAAGTGCCTACAGAACTGCTTCTAAGTCTGTGCCTCCACCGGGCAAGCATGACCTCTCCCTGCACTGACTGAACTGTCAAACACTGAGCTGTGGAGGTGGTATTCTTTCCAATTCAGAACTGGAATAAAGATTTTGCATCTTGCCCAGTATGAGCCCTGCCACGTTCTTCGTTACTGCTCTGCTGAGTGCAGCGTCCTTGCCCAGGGAGGTGCCTGGGCTTTGCCGTTGCAGACTGACTCCTAGAGCCTCGTGAACTAACTTGTCCTGTCTTTATAGAGCAATAGCTGCTGATCCTCATTTCTTTATGGGGAGTAAGAAGTCCTGAGCCATAGATCCATTTGATATTTCTATGTTTCTGTAAATCACACTGAAATAATCTGATTGAAGACTGCAAGGTGTTTTGGGCAGAAGATGGCAAAGGATTACTTCATGCGTAAGCTGGCATTGCAGCAATAGGTAACAGAAGAATTGAGATGGGAAGTAGCCATAGCTGTTGGCAGGGACAGTTTAGTAGGATGCAATAATAAAGTTTTCTTAGGTTTGGAAACATATTCGAGGTTGTTAATGGTCCCTGAAGCTGGCCACCTCAGGAGCTCACCTGACAGGCACAGAAAGGCTGTGCCCCCACTGCCCTGAGGTCTGAAAGAAGTCACTTATTGCCATGTGCAACAGCTTTTTTCTAGGCTTCTTATTCAGATGGTGATCCTGCTTGTGTAGATGTGGTGTCACAGGAGAGTCCAAGGAAGAGACTCTGCAGTTAGCAGCTTCAGTCTTAACTTGCACCACTTGCACTCAGTGGTTGACCATTATAACTCATGTCTGTGGTGTTACACTGACTCAGGAAACCATTTTGCTTCCCCTTTGCCAGGGCAGATCTTCACAAGAGCAGGCAGTGGGAGCACAACCTCCATCTAAGGCTGCCTGGCCCCTCCCCTGCAGTTTACTTTCTGGCTGTCTTGCTAAGACATCTGCTGTGTGTTACTTCAGTTGCATTTCACTGCATCCTCCATTGCCTCTTCATGACTGCTCCAAGAATCCACAGCAACAGGAATCATTTAGGATGATCACTGCTGCCACGCACACAGCTAGGGTAAAAGCAGTCAGGAAAGGCAAGGACAAAACCCAGCGGGGTGTTTATGGTCTGTTTATGTTTCTTGCATATGTACCTCATTAGGCTTGTCCCTCCTATGGAGGTGAATTGTGCCATTAGGTATGTCCCTGGAACCATTTTGCTTGATGCTTAGGAGCTGGGCTGACCTGTGGTAATCCAGCATGAGTTGGTTTAACTGGTTCGTTTGTAACCTGGGTAGCATGAAGCAAAAAAGCTTTGGGCCTGTGACTCTTTGTATAATCATAACTCAGTAATAAAAAATGGTAATAAAATCCTTCTTTCCTATTGCTGGAGCTCTGGGAAGATAATCTGGATACAGTTTCTCCAAAATGCTTGGGTCACAGATAGAATGTTTTGTCTTTAAAAGCCAAACCCAGGCAGCAGTGAGAGAACAGGAAACCACTCTGAGAGCTGCTGTCACTGTGGAACACTTTCCTGAGGACTTACAGCAGCATTTCTGCCTTTGCAGGTCACACTGAGGCCAAGTCTCTGTTCCCTACTTTGCCTTTAGCTTAAACTGCTTTTGTGGATAAATTGGTTTTTAACAGGGGCTCACAAGGAGGACTGAGTTGAGCTCTTTTGAAGTCTGCTAATCAACACCTCCCAGTGAAAATGCTGAATGCTGCTGTTGCTGTTCTCCAGGTCTTGTCACTTTCACACCTTTTAGCAAAGATCAGAGCATGTAGAAGCAGTTGTGCTACTGTCAGTGAGTTCATTTAACAAAAAAGTCTAAAATATGATGGATTTATGATTACAGAGCAAGGATTAGCTCCATAATCCTCTCTCCAGAGCACCTGCTGAATGCCCAGTTCTGAGAGGAGAGAAAAAAAATGGTCATTTTGAGATGTTAGGAATGGTACCATCTCCGTCCTGCTTGCAGCGGGGTTACTCTGCAGTGTCACCAGCTACGGGCAGTGGGTGTCAGGGTGGCTGAGGGGACATGCTCATTGCAATGTGGGTGCACACCTGTGCTTGGGCACTTGAAGGAAGGTACCTTGCCCAGCCCTGCTCTTGCATGGTGCTTTGTGAAGGAACTGAGCAGGAAGTGCTTAAAAACTGCTTGGTTGGAGTAAAAGGTGGGATGAAGCCTGCTACAGCCCTGCTTCAGCCAGTTGCTCTCTTCTGGGTTTGCAGGCACTTTAAGAATAGAAACAACTGCCCTAAATCAGGGGCTGTGGTGTGAGATTTAGGAATTCATCTGTGTGGCCTGTGTTCAGCCTATTTTGAGCTCAGTGTAGCTGAGAACGTGCTTCTGTGTTATCTGCAGTTGTGAAATGAGGTGTTGGCGCTAATTAAAGTGAGGATAAATAAGCAGTTAATCCACTTGCAGCTTGAACACTCACCAGCTCCCACATTGCCTCCCACATCCACAACCACATCACTGTAACGCTTTTCCTGCTACAGTGGGAAGAGAGGGTGCCAGGGATGAGCCTGCACAAGCTGGAACCAAGGACTTGGGGACAGGATGACAAAGAGTTGCTGCTGGCTCTGTCCCCGCCACACTTACTCTGCTTTGCTGAGCAGAAAAGCTACAGAGCACACAGGCTCTGGTTCAGCTGAGTGCTAATGCTGGTGTTCAGTGAGCGCTGCTGTGCTCCCACAGAGCCAGGGGTTTGCTCTTACAACTTGATGTATCTTTGGATTTTGTTTCAGTTTTATTCTTTTTGGGTTTTTCTGTTAAAGTGAATCTGTCTGGCCAGCTCCAGCAAAGCCTTTGAGACTTAAGACGTTGGAGATGGATGGAGAACTTTGTGTCACAACAGGAATGAGATTTGTTTGTAAAGTATGTGGGTGTTGAAAGGGCTGCTTTATAAAGGGG